ATTACATAAGCCTTTCAATATCTGGGAAAAATTTTTTTACATAATAAAAAACCTATTTATGGGTTTCAGGAAGATTATGGAAAATATACTTTGGCACAAAGAAATTTTGACATACATGAGCAGTTTTTTTCATAACATGCATTTTCATAAACTTTTTTAAGACCATTTTTTAAAAAAAAAAATATTTATTTATTTATTGGGAAGTCAGATATACAGAAAGGAGGAGAGATAAGAGAGGAAGATCTCCCGTCCAATGATTTGTTGGGGGCACTGACCATTTCCTGCCCTGTGATCGGCCCTTTGCCCTGATTGGTCTACCTTGGTTATCTTTAAGCTGATTGGACAAGTTTGACAGATAAGCGGGGGGGGGGGGGGGGGGCGGAGGAGGGGCTGGAGCATAACGGACATAACAGTTTTTAACGGAAGATCGGAATAAAGCGCCTTGGAGACTCTCTCAAGTGTCAGGTGATTTCTTCCGCGGGACGGGAGGACCCCGATAATGATTCACTCCCCAATTGAGCACAACGGCTGATGCTATGCTGATCCGAAGCCAGGATCCAGAAACTTTTTCCAGGTATTCCACACCAGTGCAGGGTCCCAAGGCTTTGGGCCGTCCTCGACTGCTTTCCCAGGCCACAGGCAGGGAGCTGGATGGGAAATGGAGCTGCCGGGATTGGAACCGGCGCCCATATGGGATCCCGGTGCATTCAAGGCGAGGACTTTAGCCGCTGGGCCACACCGCAAGGCCTGAAGACCTTTTTAAACTTATCTTTTAATTCCATTTTCCACAAACTTCTTGAAATACTATTGATTTTGATTGCCTTTTATCTTTCCAAGTTCTGTTTATTTTATTTGAAAGGCAGAGTTACAAAGAGAGAAGAAGGGGAAGAGATTCAGAGTTTTCATCTGCTGGTTTACTCCCCAAGTGACAGCAATGGCTAAGGCTGGGCTGGCACCAAGTTCTGTCTGGGTTTCCCACTTGAGTGGCCCAAGCATTTGGGCCATTCACTGCTGCTTTCCAGGCTCATTATCAAGGAGCTGGCCAGAAGTGAAACAGCTGGGAATGCACTAGCACTTGTTTGGGGATGCCAGCATCACAGGAAGTGGCTACACACCCTGTGCCACAATGCTGGTCCCTCTTTTCGGGTATATGAATGTAAAATTTTCATTAAAGTACTGAGTTCTTTAAATTGATTTTTAATAATTTTTTTTCAAACGATGCTGCTTTCCTCCCTCTTTTCCCTGCATATTAACAGTTACATTTGAATGATAAAATACCCAGCAGGAGAGAGCACTCTGATAGATCCAGGCCTTTGAAGGAGGCCGAGGAGAGTCATTCTTGTCAGCGTGGAATCCTTTGTGTAGCTTTCACTGATCCTGAGACATATTCTATTGATCATGCCATGGAAGTCGGCTTCTGTTTCTGTGATCTAAGCATTGCTGTGATGTTCAAAATCTTACCGAGTAACTGACATGCATTTTGCCTAAAGCTGAAGAGGAATGGCAAGTTGTAGATCCTAACCAAAGATAGAAAGCCACGTTACACCTTTCAGAAATGACAGGGCAACTTCACAGAAGAGCTGTTGCATTACCGTAATGTCTATTTTCATGACCTCTAGAAACCCCAGTAAAATAACACTAAATGAAAAAAAATGGTATTTTAAAAAATTAATTATTTTTATTTGGGAGACAAGGAAAGAGAGCCCTCATCATCAGATTCAGTCTCTAGATTGCTGCATGGCCCGGTGCCAGGCCAGGATGAGGTGGGGAACAAGGAATACGGTCCAGGTCTCACAGGTGGACGGCAGTCACCGCTGCCTCTCCTGGTCTGCATGGCAGGCACCTGGAGTCAGGAGCCAGAAGCAGGTTTGAACCTGGCACTCTGACATGGGATGTGGGCTTCTGTACTATAAAGCCAAACACTTGCCCCTAAGTGAGGTCTTTCGGTTTGTTTTTAAGTATAAACTCACAAGGATGAGGAAAAAAAGAAAGATAGGGAGGCTGGAAAAGCAGAGTAGTAAATGTAGGAACAGAAGCATCTAGCTACAAGAAAGCTAAGAACTTACCTCTTCCTAACATAGAACTTCCAGAACAGCTGGCAGCCTCTGTGCTTAGGAAGTAAGGTTGCAGGTACTACTAAGCTTGGGAAAACTGGTGGAAATCTTTTTTAAAAATTGTTTTCTTGTTAGAATTATTCATTTGAAATAGAGAAGACAGAGAAATCTTTCACCTACTGGTTCACTCCTCAAATGCCAAAAACATGCCTGGCAGCGCCAGGCCAAAGCCAAGATCCGGAAACTCCATCTGGATCTCCCGCATGGGTGATTGACCCAGCTAGTTGACCCGTCACCTGCTCTCCGCCAGGGTGCGTGTTAGCAGGAAGCTGGATTGAAAAATGGAGCTGGGCACTCTAATATGGGATGCTGGTGTCCCAGCTGGCATCTTAACCACTGTGCCAAATGCCTGCCTTTGAAATCTGTTGAAGAACACAGAACACACTCAGATCCCTCAAGAGACGCTGACCTACACCCCTTCCTACCCAAGCGCACAGTGACTCCCTACCCTGGCAGATGCTAGAGGCTTGCTCTGGAGAGGGAGCTAGGGTCTCTGTGTGCCTCCAGCATCAGGCCTGCTGGGGCAGGGAAAGGCAGGTTGGTGTGCTGAGCTCTGAGTCCCAGTGCCCTTGTCTCACTGGGACCACAAAGCCACAAAGCTAGCAACCAGTCTTACAGTTCTTCCTTGGGGGAAATGAGCAAGGGGTGATGAAGAGCATCAATTTAAATGGCCCACTCAGCTGATCCTCCTGGAGGCCTGAGGGCCACAGACTCTCAAGTGCTGAGCACTTTCACCCGGCTGCTCAGCCCCGCCTCTGTGAGTTCTAACCAGTTAAAAAAATACTGACAAAGCAGACAGAAGGACGTGAGTCAGAGGTCTAGACTCTCTCCAGGAAAGGGCGTCTCCCAAAACTCCTGATAGTGCCTAGAGTTTATTAACCCTCCTCTTTACTTCTGTGCTTAAAGACATCCTTGATAGTTTAAAACTTTCTCAAGGATATTGTAGCAATAAAAAAATAAACTACTAAAAAGGAATGTTTAAAACAGTACGAAGAACTATTAGAAATTTAAAAACACAATAAAATAAAAAGGTATCAATGAACGTTATGGAAGTAAGAAATGTCCTAGATGGATGAAAATTATTTGTAACCATAAATCCTGTATCTAGTCTGGTTATCATGATCAGATGTGAAGATAGTTAAAAGGCCTTGGTAGACCAAGTAACCTTTCCTAAGAAACTGCTGGGTGTGCATCATCAAAGTTTGTCATAAGAGGAAGAAGAAGGTGTGAGGTGCAGGCCGCACTTTACCCGCTTCAGGAGTGTGGGGCCTCTCCAGGACATTCCTGGCAGCATCTTAACTGCTGTGCCAAATACCTGCCTGGTCCCGGGATATTGTTTCTCTGACCCTTTAAAAAGTAGTTTACAGACTACTAGACATCAGGCTTTGAACTTTGAGAGCTGGTGGTTGGATTAGTTATATGTAAACAGAAGATTTAAGCAAATGAAAAACAATGTAATTGTCTAAGCCAGGGAAAATAAAGATAGGGCAATAAAGAAAAAGTAGTGATGACATATTCCATGGCTTAGCTGTGAATCTCTAATAATGAGCTAGTTCAAATTTTTGTATATCCACATTGGGAAAATGGGGGAAGGGAGATGAATGTGTAGCAGAAAAGGGAAGAGGAGAAAGCCTCATCTGCATCTTCCATAGTGAGGAATTGGTGGATAAGGCCTAAAATGGAAGAAAAATCAAGACGATGGGCTGCGAGAGGTGAAAATCAATCCTCAGGGGAGGGGGATGGAGCCGCGGTTCTTCATACAGACCCTTTGCAGACTGAACACTGGGTACTGTATGAACACTGGGTACTGTAGGCACCAACATGGATGCATAGCAGGTAAAGCCAGCCCCTGTGATGCCAGCATCCCCTTGGGCACCCATTCCAGTCTTGGCTGCTCCACTTCCCATGCAGCTCTCTGCTGTTGGCCTCAGTGTTTGGCCTGCTGTCAGGGCCACTCAGGCTGTGGGCCACAGGTTGGAGGATCTCCCTTTGTAACTCAAATACATAAGTAAGTCTTCAGGGTAATATCCAATAGCTCTTTCCATCAGCTAAAGTTGTCCCTGTTCATACAGCCAGAATCTCTGACATAATTAGTGAAAAGCCACCAATTTGGGCAGGTTCTATGTGGTTCTCAAACAGTCCTGCCAAAAGAGCTTTGATTGCTAAGATACATTGCTTGGCCTCACTTAATATAGTACTATATTGCTTGAATTAATTGCATTTTAAAACTTTATTCTAAATACTGTCCCTACTTAAATCTGCAAATACAGAAAGTCATGGTTATTTTCAGTGATTATTTGTAGATGCAGGATAACTTAAAAATTTGTTTTCAGCATCTATTGCTGGACCCAACCTATAAGGGGGCAACATTAGCGATCTCTGTTGTATAATTCACAACAGTTTCCAAAAACCAAATACAGGGCTGGCCTTGTGATGTACTGAGTTAAGCCACTGGCTGCCACACCAGCATCCCATGTGGGCCACAGTTGAAGTCCTGGCTGCTCCACTTCTGATCCGGCTCCCTGCTGTTGTGCCTGGGAAAGCAGTAGGTAATGGCTCACGTGCTTAGACCGCTGCACTCATGTTTAAGACCTGACTGAAATTCCTGACTTCAGCCCAGCCCAGCCATTGCAGCCATTTGAGTAGTGAACCAGTGGATGAAAGACCTCTGTCTCTCTTCCCTTGTCTCTTTCTCTTTGTAACACTGCCTTTCAAACAATAAATACAAGCTTTATAAAAACAAACAAACAGAATCCCTAGATGCCCTGAAAGAATGACCTTTGCAAAAACAAAAGATGACTTCTTGATTGTGTACAGCTTGTCATTACCCAAGCTATGCTATAGATCTGAGAGGTTTTGACCTTGAATTTACCCTACTTGTCTTAGGATCTTTCCGGTTAAAGACGTACCCCTGGAGACTGACGACAGCCTCGCTGATTGGCTTTACCAGCGGTTTATTGAGAAAGAAGACCTCTTGTCACATTTTTATGAAACAGGTATGTAAACCTACTAGTAATTCCAGAGGGACTTCCGGGAGATGACTATCTTTTGATCTTTACAATAAAGGAGTAAAAATATTTGCATATTTAAGAATTTGGGCTTTACATTTTTGTAAAGATAGAACTGGGTTAAATTTATTCAGGCTTGTCCTTTGTAAGCCTGTGTGCAGGAAACATCCATGTTGTATCACACAGGTGGGTCTAGTCAGGAGTCGGCACAGGACCCATCTGTGAACAACTGCAGGTGCACATGTAAAATTATGGGGGGTGAATCACACTGGCATTATACTTGATTATTTAAATAGCATCATGGGGTAGTCATTATTTAACACGTCCTGAGAAAACTAAAAAGCAGTGGGCAGGATGTTGGCTGAAAGCCAGACACTAGCAAACTACTTTCCCAGCCACATGCAGGACCTGTTCTCTAGCACCTGCCACAGGCACGAAAGGTGAACCGAGAGAAAAGCTCCTGAGTGAGTGTCGCAAGGTTTGTGATCAACAAAGGTGGGCAGGCAGAGGGTGAGAAGGGGGTCATCATGTCTCTCTGCTTTCCCAACCCCAAACCCTTGCCTTGTGATGTTTGGCCAAAATAGTACCAGCAATAATGGAAGCCTCTTTTTTTTTTTTTTTAAAGGTTTATTTATTTTTACTGGAAAGTCAGATATATAGAGAGGAGGAGAGACATAGAAGAAGATATTCTGTCTGCTGATTCACTCCCCATGCGGCCACAGCAGCCGGGGCTGAGCTGATCTGAAGCCAAGAGGCAGAAGCCTCCTCTAGGTCTCCCACTAGGGTGCAGGGTCCCAAGGCTTTGGGCCATCCTCCACTGTTTTCCCAGGTCACAAGCAGGGAGCTGGATGAGAAACAAGCCTCTTGGGACACAAACCAGCACCCGTATGGGATCCTAGCACATGCAAGAGGAGGACTTCAGCCGCTAGGCTACCACACTGGGTCCTGGAACCTCTTTTTAAGAAAACTATTTGGATGTTAGACTTTGAAACTTAGAAGTGCACGCAGTAAATGGCTTGTGAGAAGCCAATCCCCTCATGAATCAGCTTACCCTGGAGGATTATCTCAAGGACAAAGACTGAGTGTGGTGGGACAGAGCTTAGGTACTGTTACTCTGAAGTGATGATCTGGATTTCCTTTCCACACACAAAAAAAGCCCAGACATCTATTTACTTTGTATTTCTCCTTTTTAAGAAGATACTTCATAGCTTATACAGTTTGTTTGAAAATGTCAGTGGTAAAAGAAAACTTTTTGTGCCCTGCACTCTCTCTCCAAAAAATCCTAACTTCATTTACAAATAGAGGAATCAGTATAAATTGTACTGTTTCAGAAATTGTGTATGTCACTTTCATGTGGCCAAGATGGCAGAAACCTTTAGGAGTCTACTGTGAAATGAGACAGAAAGCACCTGCTCTGCTGCAGGTTCCTCTGCAGTGGAAGACAGATGGTGATGCAGACCATCCCACAGTGGGAAGGAACCTCGAACATGAGACAGAGTGACTAGGGCTGGGCAGTGAGTGTTTTCCTGGTGTGCAAAGGTGCAGCTGTGCCAGCTGTTTGCTCAGCTGCAAGTGCATAAAGGCAGAGGCGCCAAGGCAGGAATGAGCAGGCCGTTTGGAAATTAAAGTTCAATTAAGATCTGTCCTCAAGAGTGGTAAAAGTTGGCACAGACTTGCTGTCTCAAAATCACCACCCAGTGACACTCTTGCTGCTCAGGGAGACCCACCACTAGGGCAAAGCGAATCAGTGTCTCTCTCTTGTCTTCCAGGAGCTTTCCCACCTTCCAAGGGCCAGAAGGAGGCTGTTTCCAGGGAGATGACCCTCAGCAACATGTGGATATTTCTCATACAGTCTTTTGCATTTTTGTCAGGCTATATGTGGTACAACATTATTCAGTATTTTTACCATTGCCTGTTTTAGGAATTGACTTGAACTTGTCAAGGTCACCATAGGAGTTCGGACTTTCATAAGTGTGTGTTATTTTACATGTGGAAATCAGGATTTATATACACACAAACACACACACACACACACACACATATATATAAAGCAAAGGAAATTCAATGGATGGATTAATATTTATCCCCCTTTGGGATATTTTAAGACTCTACTAAATAAGGATCAGTAATATAATGACCTGCTAATATATTTTAAGAACTTTTCATGTTTTAAAAAGATACACTGTATCGCATATTTAAACAAACATCACATTTGAAGAAGAGGAAATCATAAAACTATCCCAGCAGACTTTCTGGGAGAAAGTCTGATTACTTAGTTCAAGTTCACAAGGTTGTATTCATCCCCTGTAGCTGGGAGTCTGTGTTACGGCAATGTCCGGGCATCCTCATTGGTGCCTGCTTGTGGTCTGTGGCTAGTAACATGAGGGGAGCTGGTGGCCACCCTCCGGACAACTGCGTCCTCAGCCGCTAATGAGGTACCGTGACAGCGGGATTCTCTGCTGGAGAGGCTGTGGCCACTGAATACCTCCTGGTACTAGAGCCTTTCCTTAGCCCATGCCTCGTTTACATGTGCTGGTGCTTCCCCTGGGCGGGAGGACACACCCATTTCTCCTTTTGTGTAGAAGGCATATCACAGATGGATCATTGTCTTTTACAAAGCGCACTTTTCTCAGATGTACATACAGCAGAAGGTTAGAGATGAGTGTGTCGTAAGGGGAGTGTGGGCCCGCAGTTCTCCAGCACCTCGCCCCAGATGCCCCTGGCCTGCCGCCTCGTGGGTATCTCAGAGGCTTGCTTCCTCTTTCCCTCGTGAAATGTGAGCGCCAAATACATCTTGGCACAGTGAAAACAAACTGATGTACGGCATGCCAGTGGTCAGTTTAAGAGGAAACAGGCTTTGTTCTTGATAAAATGAGAGCTGGAACCAGACATTGGCTTAGAATGGTGACAGGTTGGCCCACAGCTCCCTGAAAACTGGGGCAGTGTGTCCCCATCATCTGTCAAGGAGCTGCCCCTTATGGAGGAGGGGGCGCCCTGGGGAGGCTTCCCAGTCTCTGCCACTTGCTTTTGAGGAGGGTAAAGTGGCAAGCCTCACTCTAGGAAAGCTTGTCTGTGATCTAATTCCATGTTTCCGTGATCACCTCCCAGGAGGACCACACTCTGCTCTAGAAGTGCTGGCGCTGCCCCAGGGTTGAGGTGATGCCTTCTGGCTGGGAACCGGAGGCCTAAGGAGAACCCAGTGAGTCAGCAGTAGTTGTCTGTGACGCGAGCATCCTAGCTTCCCCTGTTGGCACTAACCACACAGATAACAATTCTGAGAAATGGGCTCTACATCAAAACTAAAAGCTGGTGTTTTCTGTTTTTTGAATATACCAAAAAAAAAAAAAAGTGCAGAATGGAAAAGAAGTGAATTTTCCTCCAGTTATGTGGGAAAGGTAAAGCAACACCAAATAAAAGCCCATAGCAGCTTCCTCTTTGGAGGAACTCAGTGCTATGTGAAAAAGACTGATGTGCTAAACAAAATACCTCACTGAATACTGTACTACTGCTGGCACCATGTGGGGACAGTGGTGTGCATGGCTATAACAGTGGCTATAAAATGCAACCTTTTCCACATGTAAGCATTTCATTGTGTATTTTTGGTGACAAGGAATAAATGAAACTCAGCTCAAGTTAGAGGTACACATGAGGTTAGGAAACCAGGCAGAAGCTTAACAATGCTTCTGCAAATACCACTGAATTACACAGTGATTTAAAATTGCTCATTTGAGAAGTTAGTCAGCCATCCAGGGAAGAAATGACATACTGTCCAGTGTAACATGCGCAGTCCTAAGACGTGGGGAAACAGGCCTCATTGCCGAAGCAAGTGCCAGTTTTATTCCAAAAAACACCTGTATTTTGAACGTGTGACACTTGGCGACAGTAGTCATCATTGCGTCCCAAAGCTGTTAAATGCACCACACACGTCAAATGAACCCTCCGGCAGGATGCTGTCTTCTGCAAGCACCATGTCATTTCCACAGGCTTTAGAGTGACAAACACCAAAAGATGGGTGAGTTAGTGTTTAAAAACACACCTGCAAAAATCTGTCCGAGATCTCTGATAGTGCTTTCCTAATAGTGCCTGGAGCTCACCTGCCTGCTATAAGGAATGTGAAGGGAAAACCAGCGTTCTGAGAGAGCAGGCTGGGAAGCAGCCAGGAGCCACTGTCCTGAACTCAATAATCACTCCAGTTTGTGCTTGCTTTGGGAAGTGAGATGGCAGGAGGTCTAGGCGATTCACATTGGCATCTTATAGAGTTTGAGCACCTCTTAGCCTCGGCCATGCTGCCTAAATTCTCACAGCAGACAGGCTGGCAGTGACGGTGATGGGGCGAGTGCTTGGTCACAGACAGCTCTAAGTGACTTCAGAAGCAAACGGGCTGGTATTTCACTCTTCAGAAGCAGTTGGTGGTGGTGGAATATTTACGTGTTGTAAAGCAACCTACAAGGAATAAAACATCAAGTAAAGTTGGCGTGGAAATCACATTTTGGATGGGGAAACAAATTAGGAGAGAATCTAAGTAATAGATTTTTCTTCCAAAAGATGATTGTAAGTTTGTATCTGTTATATCCTTAATTTTCCATGATAAAAAGGAACTAGGGATTCCTGGCCAGTTTGTTAATTAATGGGTTGTTAATTCAGTAATGAGTCATGGTGAGCCAAAGCTCTTCATTTGATTAGGAGTTTGAGTTTTTATTTTCATCAAACTTTCTTTGCTGATCCAAAAAAAAAAAGTTGAGTTGTTTATTAATTCTGTCTGCCTGTGGATCTGTGGCTGTTAAATGTGAAAGAGCAGTGAAATGACATGGAAGTGGCCAGCCTGTCATCAGGAGGAGGAACCAGGTACCCAAGTGGGCTGTGGGCTAGCAGAGGTCCGGGGCGAGTCCAGAGTCGTGGAGTTACAGCTGTTGCCAAGCGCTTTCCTGAGAACCGACTCCTAAGGCCACCGGAAACAGCATGGCTTGGGGGGCTGGCGATCACCTGGTGGACCTTGGCATGGAGACAGCCTTCTCACCCTCTCTGCTCCTGACCCTCGCTTCTCATGGATTCGTCTGGGTGGTGTGCTCTGACAATCACTTCCTGCCAGACTCCAGAACTTGTTGGACCTCCTTATAAAAACAGAAGGTAGTGGTTAATCATGGGTAGTCCTCTTGGATTTTGATATTTAAAAGATGATGTTTTGTTTGCACTACTGAATAGGAAGCATTCGTTATTTTCTGTTTTTGTTGTTTTTGAAGTCATCATTACGCCAGACTTTTCTGCAGGGTTACCCTTACCAGTGTGCTCAGTTCTGGTCCACAAAGGATATATAAAAATGGTCTGTTCTCGCTCATTTTTTTTGTTGTTGTTTTTTGTCCTCAGTGCTGTGGACCTCACATCTGGTAACAGGCAGTAGGAAAATTGGCTCATTTCAGGTAGGCTAGAGACATTTACGTTTGGGACCAACATCACCTAAGTTGGAAGTTTCTAGATCACAGAGGGGCTGGTGTCGTCTGGAGCAGTCAGCTGGTGTGTGCTTGACCATATTGCTTTTGCACCAATCCCCAGTGATTAGGCGCTGAGACCCTGGGCCTAAGCCGAGATGCCGGGCCATCGGAGGAGGGTGACAGAAGCCATGTGGAAGACAGAATGGCAGCTTCTCTGCGCAGTGTCTGTCTGAGGACTTGACATGTAATATTTTTTTAAAGCAGTTCAAAGAGTAAGTCTTTTTTTATTATTATTGTACTCCGGTTGCACAGTATGCCCACATTTGGAATGGCTTTTATTGTGTGGAACTGACAAACACGTACTGTGATGCACACATCCTTGAATGGAAGAAGTCTATGCAGTTTCCAGCAGCTTCGCTCGTGCTGAGGAAGGAGACAGGTCTACCTTCAGCTGCCATTATTTCTGTCAAGTGCTCTCATTTCCTTTACCGTTTTGACAGAGTCGTATTTATTTTTGCACAGGCGGGTTTTTGCTTGCCGTAATGTTCACTTCTTCAGCGTCGACTTTGCTTTCTCTGTGTATCTGCATGTCGTAATGTGTGCTAAGGATGAATGTAAAGGCTGTGGCAACTGTAATTGGTTTTTGTATAAGGCTGGTCAAGTGCGGATCTGGTTTATGAATGCATCTGGGGATGACCTTAGTAACCAGATCACCTTTGCAGATGTTTAGTTGTGAACACCAAAAGAAGCGTTTTCTCAATAAAAAAAATAATAGCTGGTTCTATTTTTTTTTTAAACCTAGAGAAAATAAAGTTGCTTTTTTTCAACTGCAGTTCCTTCACTTCTTAGTGGCCAGTGGTGTGTGCCTGGACAGCTGAGATGTTTGGGTCTGAGCCTGTAAGTTTGAGCTCTGCCCTGGGGACAGCCATGTGACAAGAATAAACTGAAGGGTCCCTTGGGAAGAATTTTGGTTTTAAACTCTGCCCCCCTCCTCCATTTTCCTGGGGGTGGGGAAGGGAAGCTCTGGACACAAGCGTCTACAAGTTTGTTGTATATTTTGCTGATAGCAAGAATGTATAACACAAATAACAACAAAATATAACTACTTAGTTATAAGTTCCATAAAGCCAATTGAGTCTCAGCTCTTTCCTGACCCCTTGTAGCCAGTCTGTGGTTATGTCTCAACTGTGATTTGAATATGACATTATTTCCTGATCCACTAACTCACTTCCATTGTCTTTCAAACTCATATCTGATCCTCTCAGCTGTTTTATTATTATTATTATTATTAAAATTTTATTTATTTGTATTGGAAAGTCAGATATACAGAGAAGAAGAGAGACAGAGAAGAAGATCTTCCATCCATTGATTTACTCCCCAAGCGGCCGCTACGGCTGATCTGAAGGTAGGAGCTAGGAGCTTCTTCCGGGTCTCTAACTGCGGTGCAGGGTCCCAAGGCTTTGGGCCATCCTCAACTGCTGTCCCAGGCCACAGACAGGGAGCTAGATGGGAAGCGGGGCAGCTGGGATTAGAACCAGTGCCCATTTGGGATCCTGGTGCATTCAAGACAAAGACTTTAGCTGCAAGGCTGCTTCACCGGGCCCTATTTCTTACATCACATAAATTATACTCATTAAGGCTACCTTTAGTTTCAGCACTCATTGTTAGATTATGTAATCTAATTTTAATAATTGCTTTAACAACTACTGGCAAAATTATAAAATTTAACAATTGGCTAATCCTCTTTGAGTTGGTGGAAGAAAGCCATTGTATTTAGTTTTGTCTTAATATGAAAGTGCTTGTATATTAAAAGTTTCTTCCTGCTGAAAATACGTATTTTTTAAAGCAGGGAAAAACAAATCATCTTTTGGTTCTAAGAGAAAATCAGCAGTATGATCAGACGAAGCCATAACATGCTAATAAAGTAGAAAACAATAAATTTGTGCCTCTCAGGATTTGGATAATTGTGTTCTTCACTCCTAGAGGTTTGGGGGACCTCTACAAGCTTCCCCGGAAAGGTTTCGCTGCCTCTCTCGCGCCTTGGGCGCCCTGGGCTGCTGACTCTCCATGTCTGCTTCCCTGAGGCAAGAAACACAGGCCAGCCTTGCACTGTCTTAGTGATGCCACTGAGAAAAGGTTGTGAGCCTTGCCCTAAAGTGTCACTGCCATCCCTTAGTTTCATTTCTGATGCCAAAATCGTAGAAGAGTCTATCTTCTGTTGCTTTACCAGACGGTTGGGGTAGCAGGGCTGAGAGAAAGATCAGCTGAAGGCTTGTTGGAGGCAAAGAAAACCAGATCTGAGTAAAGAAGCTGGAAGAGGCCCAGGAGTGTCCCCAAGACAGGGAAAGCTGCTGAACAGGTGTGCGCAGTTGCCCCCGCCCCCTGCATCCCCGGCCCTGCTGGCTGTCCATGGGGTGGTCTTACAGAAGTCAGCCGTCTTGTGAACTCTGGACCAAGGCTGCGACTTCCGTTTCAGATGACTGCCCACTTTACAGAAGGACACTTCTCAGCCGTTCGGCTTCTCGCTTCGGGGTGCCCACAAAGAGATGACTCCAATCATTGGTGATACAAACACTTCTTGTAATCAAGGCATCTGGAGGCCACAGTAGTTCCCTTTGTCTTTCCCTGACTTACTCATATTCTAATCGGGACAAAGGAAGGCATTGGAGTAGGCTGTTTGGGCTCATTTCAGTGCATCCAATTCTGATGTAGTTCATTGGGGAGAGCAGTGGCCATGTGGGGTTCCCGAAAGCACGAACAACAATATTTCTCATAACCCAAGCCCAGGGGTGCTGTGGTGTGCCCTTCACTATTGCATTCATTTAGTTAAAGCAGGTCCTAGGTCCAGTCTAGGTTCAGTGTGGGATGGTTCACAGAAGGCTGGGAGGGCCAGCTCATGGGAGCTTTTTCTTAAAAGAAGATTTATTTTTATTGGAAAGGCACGTTTACAGAGAAGGGGAGACAGATCTTCCATCTGCTAACCCACTCCCCAAATGGCTGCAACATCCAGAGCTGACAGCCCATGCAAAGGCAGGAGCTTCTCCAGGTCTCCGACATGGGTGCAAAGGCCCAAGGACTTGAGTTAATCCTCCACTGCTTTTCTAGACCGGAAGCAGAGAGCTGGGTGGGAAGTGGAAAAGCCAGGTCACAAACCAGAGCCAATTCACTGGGGATGTTTTTGAGTTTCCAGATCATTTTAACAGGATTAGATCTGTTATATTGCCTTTCTTTCCTATATATCATGATCAAGTGGACCTCTAGCTGAAAGAGGTTTCCTTGGGCTTAATTCTTAGATGATTTTGACACTGCTACATGAGTTCTTGTCCCTTAGAATTTAAGAAGTAGCAGGAACTTTTTTAGGGGCTGGTAGGCTTCAATTCCAGTCCATTACTGGTAGCATTAAATGGCTATTTCATAGATCTATAGGGACTAGAACTAACTCTTGGTTTCCATTTAAACATCATCTTCCCCAAAACAGCAGATTGCTTCTGTTGAGATTTCTGTGTTGGAGAAGCAAAAGATAAGTGCAAAGGATTAAGTACAACTTAAAGGGGCAATGAATCTAAAAGCTTTATTCTTTTTCTGAATTTTAAAGTAAATGTAATGGTCTTTATATCTAAAGGTTTTTTTTTTAATTTGTATTTTTATTGGAAAAGCAGATTAGAGTTAACAGGAGACATAAAGATCTTCCATCTGCTGGTTCACTCCCCAAATGGCCACAACAGCTGGAGCCAATCTAAACCTGGAGCCAGGAGCTTCTTCCAGGTCTCCCACATGGGTGCAGGGTCCCAAGGCTTTGGGCTGTCTACTGCTTTCCTGGGCCAAAACCAGGGAGCTGGATCAGAATTGGACATGAACAGTTGCTTATGTGGGATCCCTGAGCTTGCAAGGTGAGGATTTAGCTACTGAGCCATCACACTAGGCCCTAAAGGATTTTTTAAATTACTTTAATTGGAAAGGCAGATTTACAGAATGAAAGATCTTCTATCCAGTAGATGTGATGTCAGGGAGGAGCTTCTTCCAGGTCTCCCTCATGGGTGCAGGGGCCCAAGGTTTGGGCCATGCTCAACTGCTTTCCCAGTCCACAAGCAAAGAGCTGGATGGGAAGTGGAGCAGCTGGGACATGAACCAGCATCTAAGGGATCTGGTGCATGCAAGTCAAGGGCTTCAGCCATTAGGCTACTGTGCCAGACCCTAAAAGATTTTGTTTTTAATAAATGTTGTCTTCAGCTGTTGTAAGGGAACACTTTTTACTCCTTAAATACCTGAAATCCATGATTTGTGTCTTTTTGGATATCTAAGTGAGATACACATTTGTTCTGCTTTTATCCCTGTGTGATAGAAGATGGAGAATGCCTTCTTTCCCGCAGAGAGGAGTGAACATGTCACTCTGATTCCTTTTATTTCTGAATTCCAGCTATAAAGCTAACAGTGGGTAATGAAATCAGGTTCAACAGCCTGTACCAGCACTACGCACCTGCGTTATGGCACCATCAAGTTCAAAGTCTTGTACAAGTAGGAACTCACAGAGGGCAGTAGGAGCCATGACTTGGCCTCTGAGCTTCAGTCCCATCCCCGCCCTTACCTTCTCAGCCTCACTGCCTTTGTACGTTACATGGGCAACTCCCAAGAAGTTCAATGAGATGATGTGCTGTAGGCAGACAGGACATTGGAACAGTTGCTGTCCGGTGCATAGGAGGCTTTGTCCCACCCCAGCTGAGCTTAACAGAGGGTAAGATTACTCCCCTCCTTAGCTGCCCAAACTCTGAATGGCCAGTTAGGCATAAAAATTGTATCATGATCCCACAGGTTATTAATGCTCACCAGCCGTTTTCTGCAACCCCAGGTCCTTTGAGTTTCTAAGGCAGGTGAATGCCAGGAGCGTTGCCAGCCAGCTCGGAGCCCCACATGCTCAACCCCTGTCCCGTGTAATGCAGTCCCTCCAGCAGCAGCCCAGAACGGCTCTGAGGTCGGAGAGCCAGTTAGGAAGGTAAGGTGAGGGCACACGGGAACAGCAGGGCCTGCCAGACAGAAACATTACATAGCCTTCATAGGGACCTATTTTTGCTTATGAGACATGACATCACTTGTGGTGAAGCTGTTGAACTGATTATAAAAAGGGAGGGAAATACAATTCCCCATATTTGGAAGTTCCTTCACACCCCATGGCTCCCTATGCATAATTCATGCAACCCTAAATATAAAACTGCATTTGAGGCCTCCTACAGCTTCAGGAAGGTGAAAAGTGATTTTGAACACTCTTCCTCTCCAGTTGCCAGAGTTTGTAACTTGAGAATTGACATTTTCCCCTTCCAGGGGAAGCACCATGTGGTAAAATCTCAGGAATGTGGATACCAAAAAGACATGGGCAGTTAGGAATCCAGCAGTACCTGTAGTTACTGGGGTACTGGTCAGCAAGGGTGGGGCCCCGGCCTCGTTCTGCTGAGGATGGAGCCGAGCATCTGATTAGCAGGTGATGATGCCTCACCTTCACCTGCCCAAAAGCTGCCCAGCCCTCTGCAGACAGAGTTTTGCTGTAAACAGCCATAGCTGGGCATTCCAGAAAAAAGGGTACAGAGCCAAGACAAGATAATGGGACAGCTTTCTCAGAATGGATTTTTTTTTTGCTTGTTTTTAAAGATGTATTTATTTGAAATATGGTTCACTCCCCAAGTGGTCATAATGGTCAGTGCTGGACAGACATAAGCTAAGAGCCAAAAACTGCATCGCATCATCTCCTGAGAGTGCAGCAACTCAAACACTTGGGCCATCTGCTGCTGTTCCTGTGTAGTAAGGAGCTACACGGGAAGGGGAATAGCCAGGATGCATATGGAATGCCAGCATTGTATCACAGATGGAGCATAAGCTGCTGTACCGCAATGCTGAACCCTACAATAGATCTGGAAAACTTAGAACCCACCACCAGGGGGAAGCTTGGCAATGAGATGCCTGCTTAGTATTGCCAGAGTCAGAGAAGTTATTGACTGACTTAGGAGAATCTGCCTGTGTTTGTCAAGCAGTGTGAAGAAAGGCCAGGGAATAAACAGAGTTGATGCCATTGGAACC